ATATAGGCTAATAGTGGACAGCAAGTAAACTGTCAACTTATGTGTCTCTTAAAATAATTTTGGATTCCAATACAAAAATCACACCTTTGTATTGGAGAGACAATTTTTTGGGTTTATTTTTCATATAATTTTGTGCAGATATAATCTATATATTTTTGAAAGTTGGCAATGGCTCAATGGTGTCTCCATAAATCAACAAAGATAGAAACAAAATCAATACTGGCATTGATGGTGAGGGTATGTAGATCCTTCTTTCAAGATCTCTTAGAGCAGCAATCCACAACCTTTGCCGCTTGGTGCAGCCCGCCTGAGAGGGGGGGGAAGGGAATTGGCCCACCGCTCACATGAGTTGAGCTGCATGCATGTGAGTTGAGCCGCATGTGGGCACGTGCACGTCAGCTCACATCTCACATGTCCCGATTCCAAATAAGCCACAGCCCAGTAGTGAACCACAGCCCATGGGTTGAGGACTCCTGTCTTAGAGAAAGGACTTTTCTACCACCTAACCTTGCTTTATCCACTAAGCAACAAAATATCAGCTCCAGTCCATGAAAATGTTGATATCAATGCATCATCACAATGCATCATCACATAGCATCATATTATGCTATGATTTGCAACACATAAATCCATCTGTAGAGAGGCATGATTCTAAGGGCCTTGTGTTTAACACAAAACAATATATTCAGATATACCAGATCATAAGTGTCCGAAAGACAAACTATATATAATGAACAAAATGTAGCACAGGGTTTCAACAATTAATTTACAGAAGGGCTGGGAGAAGAGAGAGATTTTCAATGATTTTTTTGAATGTCATCAGGATGGGAGCTTGAAGGGTCTCTTGAGTGATGCTGCTCCAGAAGACAGAGACCATCACAGAGAAGATAAACTTTCTGAGTCTCAATAAATGATACTCAAAGCACACCCATTCTACTCAATTGCACTGGACAGGGAGAAACTGTCAGAAACTGGCAATCTCTCAAATAATCACCCCTTTCTAGGTATCTGGAATTTCATCCAGAAGCCAACTGTTAATCAGTACAGCTCTTGGAGCAATGTGTCACATGGCTGTACCACAGAATGCCTATTACTACCCACACACTACACTTTGGACTAGCAGTAGCTCCTGAGTAATCTTCAAGGGCAGCCTCGAGTCTAGAGAGTGCAATGCAGCAGTTTATTCACAAGATGACTAAGGTGTGTTTGCCTGCCTGAAAGGAGATCCAGGAAATCATATGAATAAATGCCCTCTTTGCCACAGCTCCACAACAGGAGCTGTGAGTCCAAAATAACTCCAGATTGTGCACAGGGTCTCAAATGGGCAAGTACTAACTCATCCAAGATAAAAGTGCCCAGGATTAGAGGGCCTAAATATAGTCACTTGGTCATGTTAGGACCAAGGACTGTTCCTCCCTGTCCAGACATGCACTGCTTTCAAAAAATGACAGCATCACTTGAAAGGCCTGAGGTCAGAACTAAACAGTACTGATGATACTGAACCCTGAACTGAAAGATGACCTGATTCCTGGTCTGATCTACCTGGTGGAGCCGATAGCCCTGCTCCCAATCTCCCCATCTGATTTAAAGAATATCTTGATTTATGCTGCTGAGAGATCAAGAAGTACCATTGATGAACACACCATTCCCACCTGAGCTCTTCCATAGGTCAGTACTGTTTCTATACTTTACCCTGGCCTGAAACCCGTTTGAAACTGGTCCAACGTGTCCTTGGAAGCGATTGCCTGACTACCTTTTCTACCATGTTCCAGGAAATGCCAATAAATGAAGAATGATAGGCACAGATTTCTGAGAAGAAATCTTCCCAAGTGGGTGAATAATACAGGTTTCTAGTAGACCAGAACATCTGCATCAGGTTCCACCACCAAAAATGATATGTTTTTCAGGATGTCATGATACAAGCTCTGCTCCTTATACACACATGAAGCATGTTGTACAACTATTCCATGTATACAATCAAATCCATATTTTAACATTTCAACAGTTACACCATCAAACCTGCAGCCTTACTATTTTCAGCATTTTTATGTTTTTCTTAGGTGTTGATATTATAGTATATTTTAATTCCACTCTTGAACATATTTTTATGGAATGGGGAAAAATAAAACTGCATGAGGAAGAGACAAGAAAGGCCTGGAGACAAATTTAGAAAAGAAAAGAGAAAGAGGGCAGGAAAAAAAAAGTCCTCTGGGTTTACAGAGTGAATGATTGCATAGTAATAGAGAGGTTGAGAACACATTTGCCATTTGAGAGCACTCAAGGATAAGCATGTAGAGTCTAAAGATAAAAGAGATTTTCTATTTATGGACTCCACAGGAACTGTCTTAGATCATTAGTCACAGAGAATCAGAAGCAGTTTCTCTCTTTAATAATTATATTCTCTTTAAATTCATATGCCTCTGTTTTGCAAATATAAGACAAATGCCCCCTTCCTGAAATTCACAAGTCGTTATTTTGGTAGAGAAAATTTTCTTCTTTCTTTTGGGTAAATAAATACTGTACCTTCGGTACTTAAAGCAGAAGATCATTCAGTTCCAGTTATTAGGGAACATGTGAGATTGTGCTATATTCCTAATTGGCTTGTTGGTTTCTCCTTCATGTCTTGGTTGTAGCATAAGAAAGACAGTGAATTCAATGGACACTTGGCTGGATGATCAAGGCTCTTTGTGTTCTCATAGTCAGTTTCCCGAGGCACTTGTTGATTTTATGTGCTTATTATATAATTTCAGCAATGAAAAATATTTAATTAATTAAATGCAGAATATTTCTATAATAAGGTTAATGTAGACAAACCTGCATATTTTGCTAGCTATCCACTTCAACTTTAATTCATACTTACACTCAACTATATTTCGCAGATTAAAACTGGTAACAAACCCAAAACATAGTTGAGATGGATCAAATGTTACCACAGAATTCTCCAGAAAGAAATGGTATACATCTAAGTGTAAATATTTACAACAGAAGCATTAAATAACAGTTTATTTTATTGACTGACGAATTCTTGAGGGATAAGAACCAAATACTAAAACTGCTGATCTGAAAGATGTCATTGTTTTGGATATCTTCATAATAAAGGAGAGCTAAAAACAACTATAATATCAATTTAATGAAACTGTGCATTAACTAGAAGCTCTTTGGTATTCATTAAACATGGTGACTTAACATATATCATTCCTGCTAATTTTCAGCATAGTTACCATTGCTCAGAGATTCATGTAACATCTTATGGATTTTTCAGATAGCTTCCTCTTTTGGGCCAAAGTTCATGATAGATTAACATGAAACTCAAATTCTCCTATAACAGTGATGGCGAACCTTTTAGAGACCGAGTGCCCAAAAACTGGCCCCAACCCTGCTCCGCTCCTGCTCCGCCCGCACTCTGCCTCCCCCACCCCGCCTGCCTGCAGGGCCACTCACCGCCTCTAGGGCCCACCACAGATCGCCCAGGCAGCCCAGCAGTGCTATGGCGGTCACGCCCTCTGCCCGCGCCCTGCAGCATCAGCTGTGCACAATGGGGTGTGAGGGCAGAATCTTGTCTACGCTGCCTGGCTGCCATGTCCTTGGCTGTGCTGCTCCGCATGGGCCACGCTCAGGGGCGACTCTCCTTCAGGGGGGCTGCTGGAGAGGAGGGGGTCACGCGGGAGGAGAGGCTGGGGCAACGGCATGTGTGCCCACAGAGAGGGCTCTGAGTGCTGCCTCTGGCACCCATGCCATAAGTTTGCCACCACTGTCCTATAAACTAGGGGGATGAGTTTTATGCTTAGGATAAGACAGGCTAAAGACAGATTCCATAAGCAGCAGAAGCCAACCTTCACATGAATTATGAGAAATAAGTGAAAGAAAGATTAATAAAAATGGTTTCAGTGAAATCAACATATATGATGGGAACTTCTGGAAGACTTTGCAGTAGTTCTTGAGGATTCTAAGCCATAAAATCAAAAACTGAAGTGCTGGAGGGGAATATATTTTCCATCAAGAGAAACAGCCACAATATATTGATAAACATAATTTTACTTTAAATTCTCCAATGAAAAAAGACTGTTACTTTTAAAGCCATCTGTTTACTATTTAAAAGCACTAATAATTTTTCTTGTAATTTGAAAATATATATTCATCAGTATGGCAGATCTTTAAAGTGGATTCTTGAACTTACATAAAAATGAGATAACATCTGGATCAGATGTCAATTCTATGAATTTTAGTTGTAATTCAGGAATGTTTACTACTATTACATACATAGTTAAATATGGTTTTTAGGGGGTGCTAGATTGGGGAAGACTAGTTTAGTATTATGATGACACAAACATTTATTGGCTGAAGATAAATAGTGTCATAACTGATAATTAGGTAATTTTGACATGAAAGGACCAGGTTTTTTCCCCCTGCAGATGAAAACAAGCAGCATATTCCTATGCTGTTATTTCCACCAACAATTCTAACTGAACTCATTTGTATGCAGTTTCACTTCCTTTTGTAAACTGCACAACCCCCTCTAATCTGTGAACAACACACTTTCCTCTGTAGTGTGTCTGCTTTTTATGATGTTTCCTGTTTTTCTTTGTAGTACATTTTTCAGTTCAAAAATAGAGTATTTCATTCAATTGTTGTTCTTGTTCTTTCAGTTAGTCTGCATTCTGAATGATACTATGTGCCCTTCACGTTTTACTTTACTTTTGGAGGCATATTGATTGCTTTCCATATGATAGGCTATAATCCTTCTGTCAAAGTAAATCAGATGACCTTATTATCATTAGATGAATATTAACTAGGGACAACATATTTTGGGAGTAATGCACTTGGCATCTGTGCTACTAATTTTCAGACTCACTTTTTAAATATTCACATCCACTTCCTGCTTCAATATTAGTAAGTTTTATGAGTAAGAACTGTATCACTCCCAGTCTAAGTTCCTTTTTCACTTCCTAGAATTTGTGGAGCCAGTTGCTTTGAACATCAACTTCGAAAATCAAAATACTGATTTAATTAATCATCAGAGATATAAAAATGCTCATTAAATAGATTAAATATTTATCTAGGCCAGCATCCTGGTTGCTATTGTATAGCCAACTTTATCTCTGGAAGCCTAAAGCCTGGACGTAGACATTTCCTCCAGTTGTTCTTAGCAGATGGTAATCAGAGAAAGCATGTGGCCTCCATCACTGGTTCCTTTCAGCCATTGAAGCTATATCAGAACATAATGAACAAAAGATAGTAAAAGCATGGGTTATAATGAAGAATCTCATCTGATCTCAATATCTCCAAATAAGCAGAAATACATATTACATTAAGCCATAGTTTGCCTATCCCTGGTTATTCAATAAATTATATTTTGGGGGAGATCACATAGGATAGCTTCTGCAACACCAGTTATTTGTTGAGCTTCCCCAAAATTATACAGTGAACTTAAAATGCAGTAAAAATTGGTAGAAGACGAGTTTTAATTCCTCAGAATGACAACTCATTGATTTTTTTTAAGCAATCAGTATCTATTGCTAAATTTTATAGAATACAGATAAAATATTCATCTATATCCTCTGAATAAATAAACTGCTCATGAAATCAATTGTGTCATGGATTAATTTGATCAGAGAGGCCAATGTTTTCTATGAAGGGCCATATTCCTAATGAAACAAAGAATGGATGAAGAACCAAAATTGGTGAAATCATCCTATCTATCTTTTTAATACCCTTTGTAAAATGTAGAGAAGAAAGCAATTACACTTACCAGATATTTTCAAAATAGTTTGGAAACCACATGAAATTAGTTACAGAAGCCTTGATATAATCTGTAATAGGCAGAATGCTTCCACCTTACAATGACGGGCACACTGGTTAGAATGCAGAATTGCAGGGTAATTCTGCTCACTGCCAGGGAGACAGCTATAAAGCACTATGAAGCGGTATATAAGTCTAAATGCTATATTGCTATACACATGGAATTGCTATATACAAGAAAACCCCTCCATGTGGGTACCACCTTGTCATGTGTTCTGTTAGGGTTGAAAGCTATGATGAAGGTCTACCATCAAAAAGTATATCAGAAGGGTCCACCCAAGCTAGATAGGTCTCAACTTAGAAGCCAGACTAAGAGTATCCACAAACTCATTAATCATGATGAGACAACAGAAAAAGAATCCCATGTTAGATTGGTCATCACCAACGTTAACAAGGACTGTGATAGTTGCTGTCCCTGGGCAATTGTTGAAAAGGATTACAGGATTGGAGAAAGACCTGGAGATCTACTCTGTAAAAATTCACCAATAAAATTCTATGAGAAGGGTCTCAAACATGTCAGATAGGGTGCCCAAAAATAGGACAACAGGAATCCCAATTGCTGAGGTAGCTAGTGGGATAAGCAAATGTCTGGTTGTACAGAGATACATCAAATAGCCACACAGAAATATAGAGAGCAATGGCATAGAAAATGTAATTCATTTTAGACATGCATTATCTGGAAAATAAATAATTATTTCTTTCCAGAAGAATGTTCCAAGCAGAAATAGTCTGTATAAGTTGTGTTTGTGGATAAGCTTGCGAAACCATACTAGAAAACATAAAACAATACTAATGAATGAATAACGTCCACCTTTAGTTCTTCAGTCTAATGATGGCATATTCTGTAAATTGTGTTTCTTCAGAGGGCTTGCTTCTCTGAAAAAGTTCTCCATGGCTTAATGTTGCATAAATAATTGGGTCTTCCTTATATCGTGTTAGACCTTCATTGAACTTCATGGAACTTAGACTAGTTCTAGATGCCGTCTGATAATTGTCTTGATTCCCATTGGGAACTTGAAACAAGCAAGGCATGGAATCTTCATTAGAGATGGCTCCCTCATCTGAGATATGAGTCGTGCTATCATTGCAGTGTTGGGTGTTCTTATAGCAAATGTAACAATAACAAGAAATAGAGAATATAATAGATAAGCATAGTTAGTTGTCAGCAAACAAAAGAGCAATTACCAAACAATTCAATTATCAAATTTGATGTTAATTTTAAACACTTCATAAAAAAAGAATCTAGGAACAAAATTTCTATGGAACTGAACATTCTACTAAGGGAATGTATGAAAATAGAAAACTGTTGAGATTTCTCTTATTCTTTCCTTCTACCACCATCACTCCGTTTTTCTAATGTCTAATTACAGGCAATCTGGTAACACAAATCTTTTTATGCAGTTCTGTGTGATGTACTATGCACTGATGGCATGGTATAAACCATTAGAAAGGTAATATTACTAAACTATTTACTCAAAGGCTGAATCATCTTAAATTGTGCATGAATGGAAAAAATCAATCATTGTACAAATGATAATGTTCTGGAAGTAAAGGCCTTTATCTTCACACTATATATATTTGGGGGAAGTAGACAGAAATACAGGGGTAGGAGAAGGAATATGCCAATTATGAAAATATGAATTAAATCCAAAAAGTGAAGACAGTGTGAAAAAGAAACTTAAGGTAACACCACCTTAACTCTCTTTCACAAAAGAGTGAGGGAAGGGAAAACACTGTCTGATGTCTGTTACTGTAGCCCAGGGGTAGGCAACCTTGGCTCTTTTATGACTCGTGGACTTCAACTCCCAGAGGCTCAGGAATTCTGGGAGTTGAAGTCCACGAGTCATAAAAGAGCCAAGGTTGCCTACCCCTGCTGTAGCCTATAACAATAAAGTAAAAATCCATGTTTTCTTTTGAAGTCTATTTCCTGATCTGGCCTACAGTACATTGAAAGGATGATATGAGAAGACTGTAAGAAGAAAAACATGAATATGTATATTATGTATTTGGAAGTGAGACAGGAAAGTATGATATTCAATGAAATGTAGCAATGTGAGTGATTCATTTTTTTGCTCCAATTCATCAGCATTCTAAGACTAAATGAACAAGAGGTGTATTTTCCTGCTGATAACTCTCTATTACAGATAGTGTTGTTTAGCTACATCTGCAAGGGCACACATAGGGAAGGATGAGAATAAAAAAAATAAAGAAATAAGTTAATAACAAACATACCCTGTTATTTCCACTTTCTGGATTTTTTACTTTCTGTGTGTTTTTTACTGAGAAGGAAAAGACAGCATGTTGTTAAAATAACCTTATAATTGTTCATAAATGTATTTTCTTATAAAGAAAAACATCTCAGTATCTTTTTAAGTAAATCTAAACTGTTTCTGAAATAAAAATTGTTTACTTCAAATCCCAATGTCCTTTTCTCTTCATAGAACAAGACATTAATATTTGAAATAAACAACCTTTACTTAAGAGTTTCAGTAGCCTAATTAATACTTCCAAAAGCATACAAAAGAAATTAAAAGATGACTTGAAAGCAAAAGACAGAGACTGGAAAATCTCTGATTGTGGAACCAACTGAGAATTGAAAGAATGAAATTATTTCTATAACATACCTTGACGCCTCTTTGTGAAACACAGCCCTCCAAAGCAGCCAACAATGAGGAACAGAGTACCGAGGGATGAAATCATAATCAACATCTTGTTCTTTTTAGGTAGTTTCTGATCTTCTGTAGTATTTGTACCATTTAGAAACACTGATGAGTTACTGTGATCTATACAGACAATGCATGTAAAATTTCATTAACATTCAAAGCAATAATAGCATGGTTTTTAATAAAGGCAATTTGTTGCTGCTTAGTTCAAAGAGGCTCCAGGAGGCACTGTAAATATAATAGTATCAATAAATCTAAAAAGTCAGAAAAGTTACTTGAAGGAATAAATTGCAGGTTGAAAGAAAATGTGTCAGCACATTTCTTCATGTTGGGGATGGAGTTTTATAAGTATTCCTATTTACCAGCACTATTTGATGTGTGAGAAGAAGTCTCCAAAGCTGTTAATAGATCTCCATTTCCCTGATCCAATTCAGTCTTCACAATTATTTTTAAGCTTTTACTAAAGAAATATTAAGACACCAGACTATATGTCTATGGAGATTCTCAATCAGACAGATCATGGCTGTCCCAAAGGTGCTTTTTCAAAAGACAACTGGAGTTTGTTTTTCCTTGAAGACTTTTTGTTTCTCATCCAAGAAGCTTTTTCAGTTCTTCAAACTGGATGAGAAGTGAAACATTTTCAAGGAAAAACAAAGCCCAGTTGCCTTTTGAAAAAGCACTTTTGGGACACCAGCTATAGATAAACCCAAGTTTATGTCTTGTGGCAATTTGCAATGTGTTTGCTTGGCTCTGATGTTCAGTACTGTGAATACAGCTATGACGATTATTACTGTAACTTTTTAAGGCTCATTATAGTCTTCGAACATGGCCAATTATCACTAATTTGTCATACTTTAATGTCCAAGTCCCTATAAATTTGGACTTGAAAGGAAAAACAGAAATGCTGAGTTCAATCAGAGAAGCAATTTGAAGGTTGAACACAAGGAATTGAAATTTAGGAACAAAACAGATGCTTGATGATGAATTGGATGATGCATTCAGCCATAAAACTTATTTCTGGATCCTTGTTTTCTTTTAAAATGAAATTATCAGCATATTAATAACAGCTGGCAAGGAGACCGTTTGAGATGTATAAAGCAATGGAGAGTTCATCTTTCCTGTGAGCCATTGCCCTGTTATACATCGTATTTCTTACTAAATAACACAAGCATTTGGGGATACTAGAACTGTAGTGGTTAAAACACCAAGCTAGAAACTAGGATTCTGTGAATTGTAGTCTGGCCCTAGGCATAAGTACAATTGGATAATCTTGGGCAGGTCACTCTCTGTCAATCCTGGAAGAAGGCAATGGCAGACAGCTTCCAAAATATTGCCAAGAAAACCGCAGAGACTTATTCTAGTGGTCACCAGAAGTCAATACTGACTTGAAGCTACAACATACACACACACACACACACACACACAAACACACACTGGGAGAGAGACAGAGACAGAGAGTAGTCGTCATTGTTGGAAGATGAAAAACAACAAATCAGCCCTTAAATTAAGCTCAGCAAATATATTTTTGACTATTACAGCAACAAAATTGGAGCTAATTTGTTCTGCTTTGCCAAGCAGTTCCAAAACATGAGAGCAGGTATTAGAAAGATCCTCTGACAATCCTAATAATTTAACGAAACCCATGCAGACTGCTATGGAAAAATGAACTTTTTCAAGTAGTCTGCTGCTAAACTGCAAGATTTTGTAAGTTATAGTTATCCCTCCAAATTGTGCCTGGAAGTGGACTGAATGAGGTTTTATGTTTTCTATAACTAGCCTCAATCAAGCCTTCTGCATCAGTTGAAATTTCCAGATATCTTTCAAAGGTAACTCAAATTAGGGTTCAAAATTACATAATTGGAGCATTTATTAGCCAAAACGAACATATCAAGGAATAGACATAGTAGTCTACTACTTTTTAACTGTGTGAATGCAGGTTTGGCAATCTCAAAAACTGGACATTCATATTTAGGCCTATACCTAAATTGTGAACCAGAATGTGATCTCATCCTCAACAGAATAAATTTCTATTCCCTGAACATCTTGTTCCAAGAGTAGCTTTGTTTGTTTTATTTTAAGCTTAAATTTATTATCCTTACAGTATGTGATGTGTTAACTACATTAGTCACTTATTTAGAATGAAAACATAGATTTTTGAAAAAATAGATTTTTGAAAAAATAGATTTTTTTTCAGTATAGTATATAATCACATTGCTGAAGATAATGTTGATATTTTTTGAGCAAAATAACAAAAAAAGAGTCATTGGCTGATAATATCAGAAGATTGAATGAGCTATTAATATTTTAGTGTCTGTCTCTTCCCAACTTCATAACTTGTCCTACTCCCAAGGCATTATGCTGAACTAAGTTGTGTGAGGATTGGTGATTCAAGAGCTTTAAATGATAAACTGGATAAATATTGCCCAAATACTTACCTTGAACAATTAATTCTATAACATGACTCGTAAGTTTATTTTTTCTTACAATCGCTTCACAACGATACTGCCCACTGTCATTTTTATTAACTGATTGAAAATTCAAAACAAACTTCTTTTCACTTATCCAGTATTCTTTTTCAGGATACAAAATATGGAACTTCTTTTTGCTCTTGTTCCACATATACCAATTCATTTCAGGCTTTTTGTTGCAGTAGGTCACCGGGCACTCTAGAGTGGCTGAGTCACCAAGATTTTTATAGTATTTTGTACCTCTTTCAATAGTAATGGTGGTGCAGTTATCATGCTCAGAATCTGAGAGAGAAAAGCAAGATGGAAATTATGTTTTGCATAACTTATGTACCTCAGTGGTAGCAATGTACGCAATATGTAACAGATATCTTTTATCAATTTTTTGTGGGGGATTTTTTTTCCCTTTCACAAGTTAATTTTTTTATAAGTCTTATTTAAATGTCATGAACACATACGCTTTTCAACATGAATGATAATAAACCTATGACTTCAGCAATCAGCAAAGATATTTAGAATTGTGCAAAGTTGTCTTGGGCTTTATATTGGCCTTGGGACTACTAGTTTGTTCCCAATAAAAAATGCTACCACTATGGAATGGTCAGAAACAGAATGCCAGGTAGGGGAGTGAGAAGTCCAAAGGGTATCACGTTAAAGACCCAAGGTTTATGAACAGTCTTCTTGATAGATAAACCAAACAGCCCCATCATTTAAATATTAGTAAGGGACAAATACGAGTAGGACAATACTGAGAAAAAAATAATCTTCCCTTTTCAGGGCTTTGAAATATATATTGTAAGCTCTCCCCTTCCCATTTCAATTCCTTATATGTCAGGGATGTCAAACTCAATTTCATTGAGGGCCGCATCAGCATTGCAGTTGTCCTTGGGGGGGGGTAGGTGTGGCCAGGGTGGGCATGGCCTACTGGGTGGGTGTGGCTGGAGTGGGTGTGGCCTACTGGGTGGGCATGGCCAGCTCTACATCGTTCGCATCAAGGCTGCCTGTGGGGGCCTGGGCAGGAGTGGGACAGATCTGAGGGTGGGACCGGGGCAAGCACCAAGGCATGGTCCACTGGAGGAGTCTCACTGTTCCTCTCAGGCCATGCAGGGGGGGCTGGATGGTGCTGTGGGCTTCCCGGAGCCCTGGGCAACAGAGGTCAAATGCCCAACCCGGCTCTCAAGCACCTGTGGCACAAATCCCAGCCCTACTACCCCAAGGGGGTGCCCAGCTGCACTTAACTCCTCCTCAAGGCTGCTGCTGCTGTGCTTGCTCTCCTTAGCCAGGTTGCTCATGATGGGTATGAGGGCAAAGTCAGAGGGAGGCCCATTCCCTCTTCATGGGACGAGACCCAGCTTTGTATCCAATAGGATGGGAGGATAGAATTGGAGACCCCCAGGATACGCCAGGAGGAGGGGGCAAGGGGATGGTGAAAGGGCAGCAGGGCAGGACTAAGGCAGGACTTCCCTCAGACCCTTTCCTTCCTTCCTTCCTTCCTTCCTTCCTTCCTTCCTTCCTTCCTTCCTTCCTTCCTTCCTTCCTTCCTTCTTTCCTTCCTTCCTTCCTTCCTTCCTTCCTTCCTAAGAATAGAGTGGTGGGAAAATATCTAAGATGACGGAGGGAGAAAAACAGGCAAGAAACACAGCTGGGGAGGTGTCACCCTTTGTGAGGAATGAAGAAATGCACCATCGACTGGAAGTGGCCAGCACATGGCCCTCGCCTACTTCACATATCTGGCTTGGTGGGCTTTGGGGGAGGGGACGCCATGAGCAATGTGAGAGTCGACACTACCTGTGCAATGCTGCCCAGCCCCCAGCCTGCCTGGTTTCGGCAGGCAGCGGGCGCTCTCCTCACAGCGCCAAGAGGCTGAGCCAGGCAGTACGAAGCTCGCCAGCTTTGCACCTTGCTGCCTGCTGAAATTGGGCAGGCTGGGGGCTGAGCGGCGGCACACTTCTTTTTGAATTTGCGCTATCTGGCTCAGCTCTTGGCGCTGTGAGGAGAGCACCCCGCTACCTGCTGAAATCGGGCAGGCTGGGGGCTGAGCGGTGGCACACTTCTTTTTGAATTCGCGCCACCCAGCTCAGCTCTTGGCACTAAGAGGAGAGCACCCCGCTGCCTGCTGAAACCCCTCCCCCGGAGCCCATCAAGCTGGATATGTGAAGTAGATGAGGGCCATTTGCTGGCCACTTCCAGGCGATAGTGCATTTCTTTATTCCTCACAAAGGGTGACAACTCCCCAGCACGTGCCCAGGGGGCGGGGCCAACACGGCAGGGGCCAGTCCCTTGCTGTTTCCAGATGGCCTTGTGGAGCTAAGACTGAATGCGTTTCAACAAAGATGGCCACCATAAAATTGTACATTGGCTCCCGGGTGGCCTGGGCTGGGGCCAAGGCAGCAGGGGCCATTCTCTCACTGTTTCCAGGGTGAGCCACATGAAACCACATTGCGGGCCGCATCTGGCCTCCAGGCCTTGTGTTTGATATGTCTGTTATATGTAGCATGTCAACTCATTTGAAAGAATCTTTGTTCTTTTCACGTGGACAAGAAAAACAGAAGTTAAAGGAGAAGTGGCAGCCCATAAAGAACCACATTTAAAGGGGAAGCAAAACTCCTTTGATCGAGTTAGACAAAAGATTCAAGTAAAGCCAGGGATTCTCAAACTCTTTTGTACACAATTCCTTACAATGGTAAATGATAAATGTATTTGTCGACTTTTTCCATCAGAATTCAGATTCTCACAAGGCTCAGCCATGCTGGATTAACCTTTGAATACTGTCTTCCCAAGAACCAGATCCAGAGGTCCACATTGCCTGGCGGTTAGCAGGGTGTGCATCTGGAGATGGTGAAGACAGACTGGTGGGGTAAACCCATATGGAAAGCAACAGAAGCTGTATAAAAAATATCTGGAACCTGGCAGTCTGCTATGCCAATAAAGCAGCAATTCAAAAGACCCAGTTTGGTACAGTGGTTAAGGTGCTGGCCTAGAAACCAGGAGATTATGAGTTCTAGTCTTGCCTTAGGTTGGGTAGTTTTGGGCCAATCACTCATTCTCAGCCCAATCGTCCTCAAAGGGTTGTTGTTGAGGGGGAATAGGAAGGAGTATTAGGTATGTTGTTCACCTTGAATTATATACTAAAAAGTGGGATAAAATCTAATAACTATTATTTTGTCATTAAAAATTCTCTACCTACATCCCCCTTGGCCTCCAATTTGCATCTCATCCCAGACCAGCCATCTGGTTTTACAACCATGCCCAAATTTGCTCAAGAAGTTTTGGATTTCCAGGCTAAGTCAAGATTAGGGCAACCATAATAAAATTTTAAAAACAATGCAAGTTGAAATCACTATAGATGGTACTACCATTCCCTTTGACACTATATTCCAAATTCCCACGTGTTTGGAAAAAGGTGTAAACTAAGGTTCTGCAAAAAAACTCTAGAAAGAGTACAGAAAAGAGCAACAAAGGTGATTAGGGGACTGGAGGCTAAAACATATAAGGAACGGTTGCTGGAATTGGGTATGTCTAGTTTAACGAGGAGAAGGACGAGGGGGGACATGATAGCAGTGTTCCAATATCTCAGGGGTTGCCACAAAGAAGAGGGAGTCAAGCTATTTTCCAAAGCACCTTAAGGCAGGACAAGAAGCAACGGATGGAAACTAATCAAGGAGAGAAGCAACCTAGAACTAAGGAGAAACTTCCTGACAGTTAGAACAATTAACCAGTGGAACAACCTGCCTCCAGAAGCGGTGAATGCGCCAACACTGGAAGTTTTTAAGAAGAGACTGGACAGCCATTTGTCCAAAATGGTATAGGGTTTCCTGCCTGAGCAGGGTGTTGGACTCGATGACCTCCAAGGTCCCTTCCAACTTTATCATTATTATTATTATTATTATTATATCCCCAAGTGGTTTTCACAGTGAATGTTAATGGGCGCAAACCAATATGAAACCTAAATCTATAAACTTGTTTTTCATAATATACATTTCATGTTTGCTTTGATCATTTCTATTTTTGTAGTATATACATGTGTATGTATGAATACACACAGACACTGCAATAAACACATTTTTGCATTTTTGAAAAAAATATATAAACATTTACTGTTTTTGCACATTTCATAAATTAAACTCCAAATTGCTTTTTTATCATGTTAAAAATGTGTTAAACGTTTACTGACAAAGTGCACTTGTATGTAGTTAAATTAAACAACTAGGCTGCGCAAACCTGCTTTATAGGAAGCTACATTCTAATCAGCTGGACTTAGCTTGAGAAAATATACATATAATTGTGTATCTACACTATTCAAACACATAAACACAGAGAGTAGAACTGAAAAATCTGTATTGCTTTTTGTCCTGCATAAATTAATAACTTGGTCATAAATATGTTTTACAGAATTAGAACTTTAGTAAGATATGGATGAAGAGTACCAAGCTCATAACTTGCTTCATATATTCATCTAAAAAGAGCTATAGTTTTCCACGTAAGTAGAGTCCTTACACAGCATCTAGAAAGAGGATTCGTGCACATATTGCTATTACTCTGAAGATTGTTCTCAGTTGTGTCTCTTACCGTATGTCAGTGAGTTGTCCACCATCAGCATCAACAAGAGAAGCAGTAGTACAAAGTTGCCTATGTACATGGCCTGGAGTTATCCTCACTTCAGGGTCATTATGAAAATGGAAGGGAATCTGTGGAACAGAAATATTTTCTTTTGTACCATTGGACATTCTTAAATCATCTTTGAGTGCTCACAAACAGCGAGATCAAGAGAAGTGAAAGAAGGGAGGGAGTGGAAAAGGGTTTATCTCACACAAAGCAGATTTTTTTTCAGCCCAGATCTTCCTGCAGTAGAATTGCTGCTCTTGGTTTCCAAACACAACCATACTGTTTTGTAATTGTTATCTTTTAGTATCTTTTCCACCTTGTGAGAGGAACCACTGCAGAATAAAAGGAAGCAAGCCCAAATCAAAGTAGTATCAGTGTAGTTTCAGATAACTCTTTAAGGATATTTTAAAATGCAAAGCTAAAATGGTTTAAAAAATGCTGCAATACTTTGCTCAGATGTATCATATTTGTTAAAACCTCATTTCAGTAGGTTCAACATAAATTGTGCTGGTCAATGTCAACAAAATTGCAGCTAAAAGGGAAGCTCTGAAAAACAAGGCAGGAACATCAGGATCTTCCAAACCCTCCATTAAAACCAAATGAGTGAGAATTGGGCATGTTTGGTGATCCAGAAATATTGACCAACATTAGTAAGAGAGAAAATGTCTATACATTTGATAGAATACCTAAACAGATTGGGTGATGAAATTAATTTTTAATGCTATTCTGTTACCCTGCTTGAAAATGTATTAACATACAACCTGGTTCACACATTGTATAAACCTATTATTATTTTAATCATGGTTTATTAAACAAAACACAATGGATATGAAAACCTACAAACCATGGTTTAGAAATCACATTGTGGATTAGCATATTGCATGAACCTCCTAGGCCATAGAGAGCAAATACAAATGTTCAACAGGATTTAGTAAGACAAATCTCTTATGAAATATTCTTAGATAATGTTCCTTTTGGTCTTCTCAATACCCTTTCTGAAGTTTTGGGAACTGCAATCCTGAAACATTTGGAAGGTACAAACCTAACTACTATTAATAAGAGTTAAAATTTTACAAATGTACTGTTGCTCAAGAATCAATATGTGTCCATGTTCTTCAATATATTAGAGGAAGCTTTGGAAACTTGCACAGAAAAAGAGAAAACTGAGGAAGGAAATATGTGCCCACAGACAATCCTGATCTTTTAATCACAGTTGGGGTTCAGAAGAATTATATCAAGATTATGTAAGCAAAAAGGAGACTTTCAAACAGAATGAGCAAACTTTTCTGAGCATTGTATTCAAAGTTTGTGGTTTCATGATTGAAAAAAAATAATAAGCAAATGAGACATGATCAGTCAGAAAATATTTCTGTTGGGTTTTTCCAGACAACTAAACTTATTTTCCAAAACATCTGAATTCAGCATGCCAAATCAAATATGAAATAAACATGGGCTGGACTGACTACTTCAAGATCTATTCAGATACCAGGATGCTATTAATAAGATGTTTCCAAATCTAACACTCACAAGGAACTGTCAGCCAGCTGTTCCTTACCCTTTTTGACCTATAGCTGAATTCAGAGTGTGGTCAGCAATCAGTACTTACTTCCTGGCCATTAATGGGGTATGTGATCCTACCTTTGCTGTTCCATGTTTAAACACACATCTCTTTCCCCTCTTCAGAAAACTAAAATAATAGCTGTTGCTTTGCTTGTCATGATGGCAGACCTCCATTGTCTTTCAAACTACTAATGCTGGCATGCTGATAATTGTGCATTCCGGCTCTTTTACCTTAATTATACCAACATGTTGCTAGGAGCCGTACGGTACTGCAAGTCAGAAATTCGCCAAATGAGGGCACAGATACATAAAGCACAAGGCAGTAGCACATTGTTTCACTGCCTTGAAACAATGGTTCCGTGCCCATGAATATAATGTCACATGTACAGGAATCAATTAAAACAATTTGTAATTGCAAGCCTCTACGGCACCATTAGTCATTTCATTGATTTACTGCATCAATATTTCCACATGAAGGCCCTCAGTGAGAAGAAGGGCCAAAGATAAAAGAAAAAAAAATGCCTTATGTCTTCTAAATATTTTTTTCTCCAGATGGTATCACTTTTTCCAATAAAAACCTCAACACTAATTTGATTAAATATCCCCAAAATGAAAGTTCTGAGTTCTTCATTTTTGTAGATTTTCAATAAGAGACTGGAAAACATCTGCTCGTGGATAGTTTAAGGCAGAGGTTACCAACCTTTCTCGGTTGGCAGACTGGAGGTAAAGGAAGGGGGAAGCATTTTACATGTGCACGTACACATGTGTGATGCAAACGGGGCAGGGCTAGTACCCGTGTGATACTCACTAGCCCTGCCCCTTTCTTACATGGTGCAGCGCCGTTTCCGCGCTCCGTGGCGCGGTGGTGCCTGTTTTTGCGGCCTGCAGCATGGCAGCGTCCCATTTTCATGCCCCAAAGCATGGCGGCTGCCTGTTTTTGCCCCCCATGGCGGTGTCCCATTTTCGCACCCTGCAGTGTAGCAGCGGTCCATTTTCACGCCCCACGGCGCAGCAACATCCTGAGTGTGCACATGTGCGTGCACTGGCCAGCCTGTCCCGTGGCCAGCAGGCCACGGCCCATTACCGGGCCGTGGCCCACAGGTTGGGGACCCCTGGTTTAAGGAATGTTCCTGTACATTGTAGTTGGTTGCCATAGATGATTCTCTTCCAACTTTATAATCTTTAGATTCTATTACTACAAATAAAATCTGTCTGCATGGCATTATGAGAATGGCAAATCTGACATAATCAGCTACTGAAAAAGTTTTTTTCATCCTTAACTCTAAATATATACCTACATATGAAGCTAGAGATGTCTTGCCTTCGTCAAAGGACGAAAGTGAAAAGGCAACTATAAGGGGAAGAGAAAAAAAACTATTCCAAAACTGAAAGAATAGATGCTTTTCTTTGGTATTTTTATGTATTTTGTCAATTATATACAAGAGTAATTTATGTACTACAGAAATCCTTTTATTCCTGTCTATTATTAAAAAATCTTCTCTAGGAAGAGCAAATGGTTATAGTCTCTCTGTATATTGAGAGTAAAATGATGAAGTTAGAAACTGTAGAAATGACAGGAAAGAATACAGGGATAGAACATGGATAAAGTCAAAGGATCAAATTCTCATTTGCATTTAAAAAAAAAAGTTAAGAAACTGCTGCTGCCGCCACACAAGCTGCATTGGTTGCCAGTCAGTCCCCAGTTGCAATTCAAGATGATGTTATTAATTATAAAGTCCTGCTTTGCATAGAGCCCTGCTATCTGAAGGGCAACAGTCCCCTCAAGGGAACTGACAAGTGATGTAAACTATTGTCAGTAAAACCAATATTACTCAAGTTTAAACCAAATTGAAAACATTTCTAGCATCCTTTACTATATGGGGATAATGCGCAGCAAGAAAAAAAAAATCCACCTGAGATTCTGGGATGAGCTATGGACATACTCTTTTCATGCTAATGGTGTAATATTACAAGAGGTAAGTTGGCCTTTCAAATAATTTCATACTGGTAAGACATTTGTAAATAAAAAAAAAAAAGCAATAAAATAAAGACATTAGTTGCAAAACAGCGCCATCTATAGGCAGTTAGTTATAATTTCATTCATTTCAAAAAACAGATTTCTTCTGTCCGAACTATGCAGTAGGAGGACTGCAAACTGTAAAATGCAATGTGAAATTTTCTGTGCTTTTTATTAAAACCCCTAGGCTAAAAATTGCAGTTTGATGCTAGATGGGTGGTCTGAAAGAATTTGGTCTCAGGGAATTTGAAATTTACTGGTTGTTTGAACACATGAGAAGCATCCAAAACTGCTATTCTTGGCAATTCTTAAATTGTGGAGTAATTACAGGAGGAATGTGCCAATGATCTCTATTTCATGAATTTTATCGGATATCATTGTGTTCAGGGAGAACAACCTGCTTTCAAGTTCAGAGGAAACAGAGGGAACTACTTTCTTTTGGCTCTGCTTGTACAGACCGCCAGAAGCTTCATGGCATCATCTGGGAGGAAAAAAGTAATATCCTCAAATCAGTACTGTTTTCATGAGGAAAGGTCCTTGTTTGCCATACATAATATTGCTTCTGTTTAATCTTGTAACATTTGGTCTAGGAAGAAGGCAATGGCAAACCACTTCTGAAAAACCTTGCCAACAAAATTGCAGGGATTTAGGCAACCTCGGCTCTTTTATGACTCATGGACTTCAACTCCCAGAATTCCTGAGTCAGCTATGCTGACTCAGGAATTCTGGGAGTTGAAGTCCATGAGTCATAAAAGAGCCGAGGTTGCCTATCCCTAGGCTAGGCCGTCTTGGAGACATGCACACAATTGAACAGAAGAAAAAATGGCTACTAATTAACCATCTTCAGAGAAACAATTAAAAAAAAAGAACTTGATGTTGGACTTTATGTTAGGAATTCTGTGTTCATCTGTACTTCTTTTTGAGGCTCCCAATCTGCCTTAGACCAATCACTAACTTTCAGTCTAATATTGTAAAATAAAACTTGCAGAGCACTGGGATGGAAAAATCCATATATATTTCCCTGAACTGTTTTTGAAGGAAGAGCAATGTTAAAATACAATTCAGGGTAGCATCATTATATTCAACAATTTAACCAACTTTTTCCTTATATAACGAAGCAAAGCAATTAATTATATTAAGACATACATTCAAATCTCCACGCAGCAATAGGAGAGAAAAATCATTAGTACTTTGATGCTTCTAAATATAACATTTTGCTTCAAGTGGTCTTTACTTTAAAATGTTTTATTCTGTAAAGTTAACACAGAGCATTAAAAACATAGTGACAATGAATACTCAACATGCATGAGCAAATCCAAAAACAAATCAAACACAAAAATTCACCCTAGCGGCAAGATGGAATAGTAAAAAAGGGTAGCAAGATTATCCATATGATGTGCATCTGTAAATTAAATGCAATTATTATAATTATGTTCCTTATTTTGTTCAAAGGAAAAAAAATGTTACCAGAGAGACATAGAATCAAATTAAGATTTTAACAGCTAAATTTTGTATGGTTGCAATTGATTAACTCTCAAAAATATATGTGTTAAAAATGTTGAATGTTGTCAGAACATTAGCTAGAAAAAGAAGATGTTTTGCTTTCTATAATAAACTAGACTGATTGGGCAAAACTTTTTTTCAATCCAGTATTAAGATTGAAAGCTGACATTAGAAATTAGGCTTGAGCATTTGTTGTGAGTTCAGCTTTTTAAAACATAGCAAGATGGGCATCAAATATTTGAAGAACAATTCGGAACAGTTCACATTTATGTGAAGGAAGCTCATCTAAGTTTATTGAAGATTAATACTCATTAGACTTGTACTTTTTTGCCTGTACTAAATTCTATTGAAATTAATGTGAAAAGCAAGCAATGACCAAGCCCTACTGATTTTCTGGGAATAAAACTAAGTCTACATTCAACAGACCATTATTAGTATCTTCATTTGCTCACTTAGGATATTTTGAATGCCATGCATTGTGATTATGACGTTGCTTCATTCAATGTATTTTTAAAAACCCTAACATTTGTCTTTCCTGCACAGATGTGCACATATGCACACACTTCAGCTGTAAAAAAAACCCGAATACAAGCTTGTCTTAAAGACTTAAACACATAATAGAGTAAACCACCATAAAGAAATGATGGATTGCCAGAGACAGTCTTATGCCTATTAATTACATTTATGTGGCCCGATGTTATGCAATTTATTTGGAAGCACATTTCACAGAAAATCTAACACAAGTTACTTTGCAAGTACTCAAGCAGAAGACTGCAGCCTTGGCCTTTTCTGTCCATATAGCTGATCAGTAAATCTATGTAACAATATTATATTACCTTGACTGGATAGCATTACTGATTTCCTTGTTCACTATATGCACAAAGTTTATTAAAATAATAAATCAGGCGCAAGCAAAGTCTCAGTTATTTGCTTCTCTGGATCTCATTTTCGACAAAAGTTTCATTTTGCACATTTAAAATGGTGATTTTTTTTAAAAAAGTGTCAATCCTCGTCATGATTTTTTACTATTCATACAGATTAAAAGACAATTTTACTTTTTTTCCCTATTAGGCTGCAGTCTTTTCACACTTATATAATGTACCATGGAATAAGTTATAAATCACTTTGTGGTAAGCCATTTGAGAAGCCTGGGAAGATACATGGACCACCATTCTGCACGTTAGTTGGAAGAGTGAAAAGAAAACATACAAACACAAAAGGCTTCTGCTGGTATGTCCTTGTTAATATACAAGATTGCAAATGGGAGTAGCAAAGTAGCAGAATGACATAATCTTATGAAATTTAAAACATGCATTTTCCATTGCTTTACATATAGGGCCTCTACTCTGTTACTAAACTTCATACAGAACACATTTATGAATGAGGCAGACAAGAAATACACATTTATTAATGGTAATGCATTACAGTCCCCTATTTAAACTAACACATACGTTAAGTTTCATTTGATAAGCAAAGAAAAATCTCTACAAAATATCAGATAATCAAGTCTGCAAAACAAAAACAAAATCCTACATATTGTTTAGATAGCACTCTCTTAGATAAAAAGCATGACATTTCCCTAATTTTAATTTATTATAATGTGCTTAATTTGTAGGAAGAGGCATTCACCTAATACTAAATTTTGCAATAACAGGCCTGTTTATAAAATTGAAATGCACTCCTGCAAATTAATATAGTTATGGGCATGTTTTAAAACTCAACAAGTAGTCTTGGGAATTCAAAAAATAACATTTAGCGGGCCTTGTTTATGCTATCATATGACTTATGTGTACTAGCGCTTTGTTTCAGAAATTATTTTCCAGGTACAACTAATTAAATTAAGGGTCACTAATGTTCAGCTAAGGAAGAAAAAATCTCATTTTTTTCCCAAGTTTTAATGGGCAATTTTAAGAAATTTTACATTTTGCAAAATTTAGAGTAACTTGACAAGAAATAAAAAAGTACAAACCATAGAAAAGGAAAGGGGTTTTTTTGTGAATAAAGAAAACTAAAAGCTCCTCCCAAAATTAGAAATAACTTTAGGTGATATTCAGACTTAATGATACTTACAAACAAAACTACTGAAATTAATGGATACAAATTTAATTATGACTTATAAATGACTCTCTCATAGAATGACTCATTCTGGGGTTTACTCTTATAGAAACACCTGCTTAATATTTCCACACAAACCCGAGAATTAAAGATGAAAGTCACAATTTTTAATATGCCAAGCAGTTCCTTGGAAAAAGTCAGAGAACAATTTGTGTAAGCACCAGACTTTAATAAACCAAGCAGAGTTTAAACCTTTATTTTAAACTTTGTTATGAACTTGATGGACATTTCAAATGTGCAACAGTGTAGCAGCCTAGCTTGCTGTCTATCAACTTGAATTCAAAGAAAGATAAATATGCAAGACTAAGACAATAATACATGATCTAATTCAAATAGGATCTCAATAGTGAAAAGTTCCATTGTATTTTCCCTCACTGGAATGGAGTGCACATTTTCATCTTTATAATGGCAAGCATACCAGTCATAAGAAACTGCTCTGTTTCCTAGGCTATGTTACTGTAAAAGAGTTAATTAACTGGGACATGATCTAAGGAATATTAACTTTTTTAAAAACAAAATTTAGCAGGTGTTATATAATAATTTAAATCATTACGATTTAAGCACTATTTAAATCAACCATGCTTAACTTGGGCAAAATTATAGTTTGCAGCCATTAACACATGAAGTATATTTTAATCAAGAGTTAAATTATCAATAATCATATGCTCCCAGTAAAAAATTTCAAACAAGAAAAGGAAACATGTATTTAAGGAAAGATATCAGCAAATCTGTTTCAGACATGGTATTTACACAGATCCAAACTAAGCAATGTTCAAACATGTTAGATATTCAAATAGATTTTAAAAAAATATTCAGGACACTTCTATTTCTTAACTTTAAGAAACAGAATGTCAGAAAATAACATTTGAGAGAGGCATTGTTTACAAACCCCTACAATTGATGAGTAACTGCTTACAGTATATAATGCTGTTCTGAGAGTCTACAATTTCTTCTGATTAATTGTAGTATAGTTAAAATCTTGCAAAACCATTCTTTACTCCTGCCAAGTGCCTCATACATTTTTGCTTTCAGGAAGTCTGGATATAAATGGATGCCCACGAAAATAAAAATCTAAATGCAGATGCTATGCTTTGCCTTCAGTGTAAAGTGCATTGGCATATATGTGAGTTCTGCAAGAGTGAGTTAGTACTTGATGCTGCATAGAATTACAGAGAACTAAACAAAAATCAAGGTTTGAATAACTGTTTGCACAGCAGAACTGTGACAACTGCATTGGAAATCAAAGTTCAGGAATACTGTAAAAACTCTAAATACAGTTAAATTGAAGATAAATTTATACAAACAACATGGGCCTAATAAATAAGACACATATAAGACACCTTTAGTACTAAAGCCCTAAATTAAACAATTGGGCGTAACCATACCTAATTTGTTCACTTACAAATATCAGATACTGTAAATCAGAGGAAGTTTTCTATGGTATTAAGGACAGGGATTACAAACTAAGCATTATGGCACCTACTTGCCACTTCCTGCCCTCCCCCCCCACCCCAAAAGTTCAGCAACCTAGTGCTAAGATCTTATTATGTAGCCATTAACTCTTGGTTGTACACCACCGCATTCCGAGACAGATTGTCATTTTACAATACAAAACCTATTGCAGGTGCATGAATATAAAAATAAAACCACATCACTGCTATGCAATCGTAACGCTTGACACCTAGAACCAAGTGGCTTTCCTCTCAGTGTTCTTCAGATTTAATAAGCTGATTTGTAAACCCGTCAGACAAATACATTTTCCTCAGCTGGTCAGCCTTGGGTATGGAGTTCCCATTCTTTACATGGCGAGAGAGAAATGCTCGTACGGCGGGGTGATCAGCCTTCTCAAGGGGAATGCTAGCTTCCAGAAACATTTTTACAAAGTCCTGGACTACATTGGGTTTCTCTGTCTGGGTTGTGCTATTGCACTGCAGAGAGGCAGTCAGGGTCCGTGGTTTCTTTCTGACACTTTGCTCTTCAAACTCTCCCTTACGTTTGGTGTGTGTTTTGGATTTGAGATGATCATTGATTGCAGACTTGCGGACATGATTCAGGACTACATTGCAAAAACTGCAATAGAGTTTTCCCCCATCTTCATACAGTTCACTGCCAAATTCACTCACACGATCCTGAGGGGTCACATATAAAGCTGTCTTTGAACGGCTCCGGGAGGGAAGTGGCTTTACATCAAATCGTTCCATTGCTGCCTTTAGTAAACTGAGAAAAATTCTCACTCACTCTAACATAAATATAAGTCGAATATGTTATCTCAAATCAATGTCAGTACACTTTTTTTTTCATGTGGGAGAAACTCAAGATACCAAAATGCATAGTTCTGTATCATTTTTAGTAGACCAGGAGTCAAGAAATAAAATGTTTTTCTTTCGGTTTTATCTCTTCGGTACACACTTTTTAATTCATGGAGACGTGATTTAATAGCTTGTAGAACCAACTTTAGCTGTCATAACTTGAAGTAATCATATTCTGTATGATTTTATCAGTCTCTCACATGTTTGTGGAGGAATTTTGGCCCACTCTTCTTTACAACATTGCTTCAGTTCATTAAAGTTTGTGGGCATTTGTTTATGCACAGCTCTCTTGAGGTCCTGCCACAGCATTTCAATAGGGTTGAGGTCTGGACTTTAACTGGGCCCTTGCAACATCTTGATTCTTTTCTTTTTCAGCCATTCTGCTGTAGATTTGCTAGAGTGCTTGGGATCATTGTCTTGTTGCATGACACAATGTCGGCCAAGCTTTAGCTGTCAGACAGGTGGCCTCACATTTGACTCTAGAATATTTTGGTATACAGAAGAGTTCATGATTGGCTCAATGACTGCCGGGATCCTGTGGCTGCAAAACAAACCCAAATCATCACCCCTCCGCCACCGTGTTTGACAGTTGGTATGAGATGTTTGCGATGATTTGCTGCGTTTGGTTATTGCCAAACATGGCACCGTGCATTATAGCCAAACAACTCCACTTTGATCTTGTTTGTCCAAAGGGCAGTGTTCAGAAGTTGCTCAAATGCAACTTTGCAAATCTAAGCCAGGCTGCCATGGTTTTTTTTTAGAGAAAAGAGGCTTTCTCTCAGCAATCCTTGCAAACAAACCACACTTGTTCAGTCTATTTCTAATTGTACTGCCATGAAATTTAACATTTAACATGCTAACTGAGGCCTGTGAAGTCTAAGATATAACTCTTGCATATATATATGATATATATATATATATCATATATATATATATATGGGTCTTTAGTTATTCGGGTTTTCTCCCGTGTAGAATTAAAAGTACCTTGGCGACGTTTCGACGAAGTCACATTCGTCGAAACGTCGCCAAGGTACTTTTAATTCTACGCGGGAGAAAACCCGAATAACTA